CTCCCTCCTCAGCACCGCCCCGTGCCTGTCACTCCTTCTCGGGACCGCTGACCCAGGGCTCTCTGGACCGCCCCCCGGCCCGCCCAGGATCTTCCCCCTGCTCGCCCGATTCCGCTGCCTCGACACCCCCGCCACCCCACCTCCATTCTCCCGCCTCCTGCGGACCGGAAGGAGCTTGGGGCCGCCCCAAACCTGCCCGGACCCACCCGGGACCTCCCCCTCCCTCGATCCTACGGCCTGCTCAAGACCTTTCCCCTCTCCCTCCAGCCTCCACCCTGCCCAGGACTTCTCCCCCATTCCTCTCCTCCCCGGTTCTGACCCCCGTCCGATCCCGCGGGGGGGAGAGGGGAAGGACTGGTCCTGCCCAGAACGTCCTCCCCCAGCCCTTGTCCATTCCCGCCAGGTCCCGGGACCTCCTGGCACCGCCTCCTGCCTTGGGGACCCGCCCGCAGGCCCCAGGACCTCAGCAAGCAGGCCTCAGATTGGTCCAGACTGGGAGTGCCGACCGCGGCTCGGTGTGCCTGGGTGAGGGCCCGGCAGAGTACGGTCTACGGGCTTTAGTTTCCGTGCCCGGCGCCCAGTCTGTTCCCCAGCCTTTCAGCTCTCCACCCCAACACGCGCCCCATGTGCAGCGTGTGTGTGGCCGCGGGTGTGCAAGGGGTGCACCTACACACACAACGGACACAGACCGATCACAGCGAGAAAGCCCCCGGAGCGCTTCGTCCCCACCACCACCACACACTCCTGGGCCTGATTCTACCGGGCCCGGAAATCACCTACGGAGCGCGCTCCTTCCCCAGCAGCGCCAGCTCCCGCTCAGCAAGCCCTGTGCCTCGTAACGAAGTTTCTGGGACCCCAGAGGAGGCCGACGAGTCTGCATCTACCCAACCTGGGGATGCAGTCTGAGCGGGACGCGTCTGGGGTCCTAACGTTAGGACTCGCGCCCCTTCCTTTCAGCCCGCTTTGGAGCGCCTGTCTCCAGGGTATGGCGGCGGGGGTGACTCCGCTGGGAAGAGCCCTGGTTTCACCCCCGCAGATGAAAATGTCTCCACTTTCCAAAACGATCCCCAAAGCAAGTCCAGGCAGGCAACGCGAACAGCGACAAACACCCGCTGCCCTGCGTCCTACGACCAGAGACGACTCATCAGGACGTGAACAATGATGGAGCGTGGGTGGCTACGCAGAGGCCACGCAAGCCACGTGGAGGCAGTGACCCAGGGGAAGTCCCTTGGTTTGAGCGGGATGGCACCCACGTGGTACCTAACCACAACGTGCACAGGTGTAACAAGCTCGCATACACACACACACAATCTACTGGTGTGCACATATCATACGGGCATGCACACCACCTCTTGTGATTTTTAAGATTCTGAAGCTCCTCTGTACCTACTTCCATCTCCCCAACTCACGGGAGGAAGAGGGGGTCCAATGCTGCCTACCCCCTGGCTGATGCAAGCTCCTTCATGGCCTCCTCGAGTCGCCCCGCACTCCCACCCTCAGCTCTCCAAGGCCTCACAATCGGGGTCCTACAAAGGCTCCTGAGGTTGCAGTCCTTAGGGGGAGATGCAGGGGCATTTACAGTGAGGGGTGCTGCCCTCCCTCCTCCCAAATCAGAACCCCCAAACGGGCTGTGAGCCTTCTAAACAGAGAAGGTAACCCCAAATCCCTCACCCCTAGGCGCTCACCCCGCCCTCAGGAACTGTTTTCCTCCAACAGCCGGTTGTCCTGAGCAACAGATGCAAACACACACATGTCCCGGAACCCAGCTTGGGGAAGCACATCCTCTGACACTGAGGCCAGGACAGAGCGTTCCCTAATCCACAGTCGCTTGGAGGATTAGAGCCATGCACATCTGCACCTGAGGCCAGGGCCCGCTGGAATGAGGCTGATCCCCGGGCCGTGGGCAGAGGAGGTGGGTCCATGAGGACCCCTCCAGATGGCCTGCTCGCTCCCCAACCCCCTGGCTCCGCCCTCTCCTTGGGCCCTGCGGTACCACCCCACCCACATGATCATTGAACTAAAGCAGACAGCTGGGAGGGAGTTAGGGGTCAGAAAACTGAGGGAAAACTGCAAACGGGGTATCTAATTGGCTCTTCCCTCCCTCTGCAGTACCTCCTCCCCGCTGTGCCTCTCCAGGACAGGTCCTCCATCTCTGCATCATGGTCCAGGATGCCCCATCTCCTGGCCAACGCCACCAGGCTCATCTGGGAGCTAGGGAGGAGGAAGTGCCGGGGCAGGGACATCATTGGGGCAGGGACGTGGGGCATGGGTGAGTCTATTCCAAATGAAGCCCACTCCTCCACATCCAGGGGGGGCAGGAGACTGCTCTGCCCAGAGAAGGCACAGGGGACTAGTGCAATTGCTGTTCTGATGCCCAGAGATTATTAGCACTCGGTCTATCCCCATATCCCACACCTGGAGCACGATCCCACAGCACCAGACTAGGGTCTGAGTCCAGAGGGTCAGGTTTGGCCCCAGCAGAGAACTTGAGACAGCTGGGACACCAACCGCACCCCACCCCACCGTGAAGGCAGGCTCACTCAGGACCCTGGAGCAAGTAGAGGCTCCACATGCAGAGCCAACTGCAGGTGTCTCCCTTGAGGGTTCCGCACCAGAGGGGGCTGCAGGCAGCCTGAAGGGGCCACAATCTGTGCATGCTGTGTGTGAGTGTGTGTGTCTGTGTGTCTGTGTGCATGTGAATGTGTGTCTTCACACATGTGACATCTTTCCTGGTTCTCAGTCATGGTCCCCAGTGCTCACAGCCTGGCCTGGTGTGTCTTGCCACCTCAGCCTCCACAGGCTAGAAACAGTATGCTATGACTGTTGGCACACTGCTCACGTCCTCAGCCACCCTGAGATCTGACTGCTGGCCGCTGGTGTAACTGAGACTGGAGTGTGACCTCGGGTGGAGACATGGAAGTCACCGAGGAGACACCAAAGGGATTCTCCACAGTTGTTGATCGTTTGTAATTTTCATTTAAACTTGCTCCACTGTTAGATGGCCAAACTTCATCTCTCATACTTCGGACGTATTGTCAGGAGGGACCAGTCACTGGAGAAGGACATCATGTTTGGTAAGGTGGAAGGTCAGAGAAAAAGAGGAAGACCCCCAACGAGAAGGACTGGCCAAGTGGCAGCATTGATGGACTCAAGTGTGGCGACAGTAGTGAGGTTGGTCCAGGATCGGGCACTGTTTCCTTCTGCTGTGCATAAGGTCGCTATGGGTCGGTACCAACTCGATGGCACCTAACAACAACAACAACAACAACAACAACTGTTAGACTGGTGTTCCTCTCATGGATCAGGCTGTGAGGACTCACCTGCTCTCAAGTACAAGGGCACATGGCTGAGACCAGACTCCTGGCCCTCCCTACAGCCCACCAGAGGCTGTGAGCACCGTGGACCCAAAGCATAGCTGTTGTGGTTGTTAGGTGCCATCAAGTCAGTACCGACTCATAGGGACCTTATGCACAGCAGAACGAAACACTGCCCGATCCTGGGCCAACGTCACTACAGTCGCCACGCTTGAGTCCATCAATGCTGCCACTTGGCCAATCCATCTCACTGGGGGTCTTCCTCTTTTTCTCTAACCCTCCACCTTACCAAACATGATATCCTTCTCCAGTGACTGGTCCCTCCTGACAGTATGTCCGGAATATGAGAGACAAAGCTTAGCCATCTTGGCCTCCAAGGAGCACTCTGGCTGCACTTCTTCCAAAACAGATCTATTGGTTCTTTTGGCAGTCCATGGCACTTTCAGTATTCTCCTGCAACACCATAACTCAAAGGCATCAATTCTTCTATGGTCTTCCTTATTCACTGTCGAGCTTTTGCACGCATATGAGGTTATCGAAAATACCATGGCTTGGGCCAGGCGCACCTTAGTCCTCAAGCTGACATCTCTGCTCTTCAACACTTTAAAAAGTTCCTGTGCAGCAGATTTGCCGAATGCAATACGTCGTCTGATCTCTTGACTGCTGCTTCCGCGAGTGTTGATAGTTGATCCAAGAAGAATGAAGTCCTTGACAACATCAATCTTTTCTCCATTGATAAGAATGTTGTTTATTGGTCCAGTGGTGAGGAGTTTTGTTTTCTTCACATTGATATGTAATCCATACTGAAGGCTGTGCTCTTTGATCGTCATCAGTAAATGTTTTAAGACCTCTTCACTTTCAGCAAGCAAGGTTGTATCATCTGCATATCGCAGGTTGTTAAATCTTCCTTCAATCCTGACGCCACGTTCTTCTTCATAGAACCCAGCTTCTCGGATTATTTGCTCAGCATACAAATTGAATAAGTATGGTAAGAGAATACAACCTTGTTGCACACTTTT